GCCAACACATCCTCAAGGGACAAAGACTCCCTACCATACTTAATAACAGCTTTCACATACTCTAAAGCATAAGGGAAGGCATTTAAGAGTATAATGGCTTGGTTTTCATCAGATATCTTCTCATCCGTATTAGCCAAGCTTATGGTTATCCTCTTAAATTCATCTAAGTTCTCATCTAATGATCTATTAGAGTCCATTTTAAATCCAAACAGTTTTTCCTTAAGATAAATTTTGTTTGATAAGGACTTAGTTATGATAAGGGATTCCAGCTTTAACCAAACCCCGGCAGCAGTGGTTTCATCATCCACTTGTCTAAGTACGTTGTCAGTCAAGTGCAAAATCAGCAAACTGAATGTAGTTTCCATCATTTCCTCCTTATCCTCATCACTCATGGTGGCAGGTAGATCCCTAGCACCACCTAAGGCCTTGGAACACTTTTGGTGAACCAATACAGCCTTCATTTTCTTCCTCCACATATTGAAGTCTCCTTTGGCATCGTATTTCTCCTCCTCCATGCGTGCAGTGCCCATCTTGATGACTTTCAGCAACCATGACAGCAACCAGAACAGACGCGATACAAGAAAGAAGAGGAGATGAAGCGCGGAAAAAATAACAGATAATGTTCTTGAAATAAAGAACTCAAAAATAGCAGTAATTACAGAAATAGAATAAAGCATGCAATAACGAATTGCAAGAAAGAAAACAATCAACATGAATGAGCAATTACAGAGCACAGATACAGGCAAAAGGAGGCACGCAACCTAAGCTCTAGATACCAATTGTTGAAATTACAGTGGAGAATTTCTGGTTTCCTTTTAGTTTCTTAAAGCAGAAAAGAGGAGTTAAGAGAAGAAAAACACACGCTGGGTTTTTACTTGTTCAGAAACTTGTGTTACCGAGTTTCCTACGTCAAGGATCAATTTAGGGAGACCACTCCCTGGCACTTGCACTAATTAAATCAAGAAGAGAAAGATACAATGTTCAGTTTCAGACTTAAAATAACCAAAGCCCCAAAGAAAACCCTAAAGCCCCAAATTTCATTCAACAGATTAAGAACCCTAAACAACAAGGCTTTACAAGATGCAATTGAACACAAAACAGAGCACAACAACCTCACACATAGACTCAGTTGTGATACCAGAATCCTCACGTGAATCAGAAGCCCTTCTCCACACTTTTTGATGTCTTCAAGAAGCCACCGTCGAGTAACTCCTTGGTCTTCAACCACCACCAAGCTCCGATGATGAACCTGCAAACACAAGAGAGAACAACAGCCAAGAAAAACTCGATGCAATCTGGTTAGTAGATCAGATTTGGGTTTTTGAGCAAAACCCTATCACAACATACAAGGGAACTTTGATACTGAATATAGAAGAATGAGAGAGTGTAGCAAAAATTATAATTGCACCGAATGTGTATTTTCAATATATAAACCCAATCAAAATGTTAATATATCACCTGACTACAAAACGCAGCGTTTCCATTAAAAGAGTTGATGTTACCAAAAAGTCCTTTGAACAGTACAACAATATAAAACTCGCAGGGCTACATATGGAAATACAGTTTTAACAAAAACTTTTTGTGGTATTTTTGGATGACATTTTAAAAAAAAAATCTACACAAAACAAAATTTTGAGAAAATAAGATTCCCGAATTTTTTTCTTCAGAAATCTTATATCAAACGTGGATAAATGAGATTATCAATGTCATTTTTTCGAGAAACTCAAAAACTCTCAAGTAGCAAACACCCAAAATTCAAATATTTTTATTATTATTATTATGAGATACATGGCTTCCGTAGCTTCACGCTTTTATACATCTTTTAACACATAATCATTGATTGTAATGGTAATTGTATAATTTGACAGTGACCCGATAACAAATCCACTAAGTACTTTCTTAATTAATAATTATCACTCATTTTCTTTGGAGACTTCGTAATCCAATTATCACCACGGCCACCTTTAACTGAGAATCCACACAGGACACTGATGTTAGCTTAGCATCATAATTTAGGAAAATTTTCAGTTTACCTCCTCTGCGCATTATTCATTCATTATTATAACTTTTATAACGCGGTAGTTAGAAAACATTAGCAAGGGGGTGGGGTGGTTTCAATTATTAATGTTATTGAGGAAATTATTAAGTCACAGTAAATGACAACTAAGTTGACGCGCAGTGAATGTTTAGTATTTTTTTTTTTTTTTAAAAAGAAGTAGAAATAAGTGGGAGTTGTATAACATTAACTATAGAAGAGTGGTACAATAAATCTAATTTAGTGAGCTGCTTTTTAATCTCTTTTTCTTTTTGAATTTTTTTTTGACTGATTTATCAATTACATGACTAATGAATGCATAGCCCTCCTACCAAGTTTTTAACATGACCAGTAGGTTTTTTTTTTTAAAAGATTATATCTATATATATATATATTTAGAAAGACATTTATTTAAAGGTAAATATATGAAATTAAAAACATTTTTACAGAAAAAATTATCCAAAAGGATATGGAAAGACGACGACGACAATAATAATAATAATAATAATAAAGCAAATTAAGTAATATATAGTGATAGCGAGAACATAACAACGGTGACGATAATGATAATGGTGATAATGACGACTATAATAATAAAATTGGGATAAAATTGGATTTTGAGAAAATTATTTTGACTTTTAACATTTACCTTTTTAAAACTAATTTTTTATTTTATTTTTTAAGTTGTCTTCCAAATACTTATTTAAAGCAAGAAGTATTTTTTTTTAAAAAAAGAAAAAGCTTCTAAAGACAAAAAATAAAAAAAAACTCATCAAAATAAACTCTATATATTAACCAATGTTTTTAAAGACATTCATTAATAATTTTTATGTATCTGTCACTTATGTGTCAACAAATATATATTTTCCAATGGAGCAAATAAGTACAGACAGATTGTAAGATTCAAAATCGCTATCACCTTAATAAATTGACAAAAATAAAATATGAATATGTGAAGTTTTTAGTCACATATCATCTACCACTTAGGACCTGTTTGATTGTGTTCTGATTTTTTTGTTCTTAAAACTGTTTTGTAAAATAGTTATGAAAACAGTTGTTTTCTGTATTTTTTTCTTTTTGAAAGTTAAAAACCAAAACAGAAAACAAAAACAACTCAGACATGTTCTCTAAATTTGATTCTAAAAACAAAAAAACAGTTATATTTTTCAAAATATTTTTTACAAAACAAACTTTACCAAACGAGTTTTTTAATTTTTTTGTTCTGAAAACTAAAAAATTGTTTCCAAGAACAACAATCAAACAGAGCCTTAATCTCTTAAAAAATTGTTAACATATTATATACGATTTTTTCACGTTGCTTTATATGACTTACTACCACTCTGATTAATTTTGGATTAGGCGAGCAAACAATCTCGCCCACCCGGTCCAGGCCAGGCACGCATGCACGCACTAATCCCTAGCAGTGTGTCAGAAATGGACACTTTTGTATCCATTGCATTAGATGTAAATATCATTTTTAGTCAATCTTCAACAAATTTTACAATGTTTGTTTTAGTATCTAGCAAATAAAAAAATTATTTGTGGTTTCTAAAAAATTCAAAATGAATTTATTTAGTTGAAATCGTGTTCTCTCACAAATTCAAAAAAATCCACATTAATCCCTCAAAAGTACTAAATGTGATACACTTTAAATTTCTTAAGAACCAGAAATAGCCTTTTTATTTGCTAGGAACTAAAACAGACATTGTAAAATTTGACGAGGATCGAAAATGATATTTATTCTAAACATTAGAGGTGATTAAGAGAGTTCATGTTAACACGGGGACTTAATCAAGTTCAAGTAATTTGATTACAAATTTTTTAATAATTGATTTCTAACATTTTATATTGATTTCTAACATAATATAAATTGATTTCTAACATTTTATATTTTGATGACGCAACTATTCAACCTGGCCCTTGTCAGTTTGATTTTAATCTATTAAACACAACCGTCCTGACCCTATTCTGCTATTCAGCCTTAAGAATTTAGATACATCCAGCAAGTACTAGTTTCAAGAAGCGGAAGCAAGACGAAACAAATCTGCCTAATAGGATTTCCAGGATCGCAGTTTTGTTTTAAGAAGTAAAAGAAAAAAACGAGTTGTAGATATGCACCCAGGAAGAGGAAAGAGGCAATTTGTCCCTGTTTTGATCACATAAGGCTTACGTTTGAATTGACATCATCCCGGGAGACAATGAGTTTGAGAAAAAATGATTTTGAGAAGTATTATAAAAAAAATGTTTATCCTTTTAAATAACACAACTTATAATATTTTATTCTTATAAAGAGGTGAGATCCACATCCTTATTTTTTTTTGTCAACTCTTTCTTCTTCTTTATCTATCTATTTCTCTTACACAATTTTATATCATTTAAAATGATACACATTTTTTTCTAATATTATATCACGAAACATCAAGTTTGAAATTTGGAATGCTCAACAATATAATTTTTAATTTAAAATATACTAAAAATAATGTAACCTATTAGACTCCAACTCATATGAACTCAAATAACCACGCTTTGATCTATTGGACTCGTGTACATAAACATAATATTATATTATATTAAATTATTAATATATCGAGCGATTCTTCTGTACGACATAAATTGCAAAATCCGCACGCACTGATCGCTTTCCTTCTAGATAAGATACATGGCCCCACCTCCATAACATTCAATTAATATCCAATATCAAATAAACACTTAATGTGTTCTCACTGACTCAACCAATCTTCAAACCCATCATTCAACTTTTCATGCCAATGCACATATTATATTTATTTAAATATGCATATAAGCATTACAAATAAAATATATTATTTTTTTATTAAAAAAAAAAAAAAACTTGTTCACTGAAATTCAAGCGTTACCACTCACCACACCACCAATCAATAAATGAACCCGTCCCACAAAGAAACCTCCCCTGTATATAAATTCCCCTCTTTTCTGCTTTCTTACACACAACAAAACTGAAAAGAAGAACACCAGAGAGTTTTTTTTTCCATGGAACACCCAAATTCAGTGACACCAAAACAAACAGCGGAAGTGGCACCTACTGTGGTGGCCATGATACCAACCCCAGGAATGGGCCATCTGATCCCAATGATTGAATTCGCCAAGAAAATAATCCTCCACAACAACCTCGCCGTGACCTTCGTCATCCCCACCGACGGTCCTCCCACAAAAGCCCAAACCACCGTTTTACAATCCCTTCCCAACGCCATTTCCCACATCTTCCTCCCACCCGTTAACCTCACCCAACTCCCACCAAACACAAAGATCGAAACAATTATCTCCCTCACCCTCCTCCACTCTGTCCCTTCTCTCCGCGACGCCTTCCGCTCCCTCACCGCCTCTCACACCGTCGCCGCCATGGTCGTCGACCTCTTCGGCACCGACGCCTTCGACGTCGCCAAAGAATTCAACGTCTCTCCATATATCTTCTACCCTTCCACCGCCATGGCTTTGTCCCTTTTCCTTCACCTGCCTAAGCTGGACCAGGAGGTTCACTGTGAGTATAGGGAGCTCGCCGAACCGGTCAAGATCCCCGGGTGCGTTCCGATTCACGGAAAAGATTTGCTGGACCCGGTTCAGGACCGGAAGAACGAGGCCTACAAATGGTTGCTTCACCACAGCAAGCGATACAGAGAAGCGGAAGGGATCATACAGAACAGCTTCCTGGAATTGGAACCGGGTGCCATCAAGGAGTTGCTAAAGGAAGAACCTGGGAAGCCTCCGTTTTACCCGGTCGGACCGCTTGTGAATATGGGGAGCGCTCAAACCGGGGCGAATAGTTCGGAGTGTTTGAGGTGGTTGGATGATCAGCCACATGGGAGTGTGTTGTTTGTTTCTTTTGGAAGCGGTGGGACCCTGTCGAGCACCCAAGTCAACGAACTTGCTTATGGGTTGGAGATGAGCGAGCAACGTTTCTTATGGGTGGTGAGGAGCCCAAATGACAATGTCGCTAATGCCTCTTATTTCAGTGCTGATAGTCAATTTGACCCTTTTGATTTCTTGCCAAAAGGATTTGTTGAGAGGACAAGAGGGAGGGGCCTTCTCGTCCCATCTTGGGGACCACAGCCACAGATCTTGAGCCATGGCTCCACTGGGGGGTTCCTGACCCATTGTGGTTGGAACTCAATCTTAGAGAGCGTGGTGAATGGGGTGCCTTTGGTGGTTTGGCCACTCTTCGCTGAGCAGAAGATGAACGCTGTTATGCTCACCCAAGACATAAAAGTGGCATTGAGACCAAATGTTGGTGAGAATGGGTTGGTGGAAAGGCAGGAAATTGCCACTGTTGTCAAGTGTCTGATGGAAGGTGAAGAAGGGAAGAAGATTCGTTACCAAATGAAGGATCTCAAGGATGCAGCTGCCAAAGCTCTAGGTGAAAACGGATCTTCAACAAACCATATCTCCCGCCTCGCTCTTAAGTGGAAAAATAAAGCAACTGTAACAAATTAAAGTAGCTCCACTCAACTTCTTTCTTTGAATTCTACACAAGTACATAAATAAAACTGCTTTATTTATTTTGGGATGAGTTTATTTTCTTTTTCTTCTATATTAAAGATTAAAAAAATTCTATATAACATAATTATTCTTATGTTGTATAATTTTTTTTTATCTCTTATATATACAAATTTAAAATGGCCATCATTTTATTTTCTTTTTCTTTTTTCTTTTAAAAATAAATCACACCTGTAAAAAAAAATTTTTGTAGGAGATAATAATTATACGAAAAAACTAATGGGATAAAAATTTATGAAAAGTAGCAAATGTAATAGTTGTGTAAATAATGTTTGTATAAAATTGAATCCCGTATAGCATTGCGATTTTACATCCGAATGACAACGATCATGGATACTGGCCAAAAAGAGGTGGGACCTAATGAACAGAAAATTCATTACATCGCAACAAAAGTGATTGACCCTTTATAAATTGACTGGCTAGCATTATAGACATTGGAGGTGTCCATTTCAAATGTCATTTTAAGAATTATTGATTGAGTGAAAACTTTTTATATTGATTAAAAATAGACTATCTTAGCATCATATAAATGGAATAATTTGTATATCTAATGTTTTAAGATTTTTAATTTAATTATGAAATTTTAAGCTATTTAATGTCATTATTTATTTGGCCTATGGTTGGCAATTTTTTTTTTCCCGTCACGAGCTTTTCTGCACGGCCTAACAATTGGTAAGTCAAGGTCTTGATATTTAATATTTTGAGATTTTGAATTTAATTATAGTGTTCTAAATTTATTTAATATCATTGTTCACTTAATTCATAATCGATAATCTCTTCCTAATATAAGCTTCACCTGCACAACCCAGTACTAATATAGCTCGTGATAAGTTCAACAGCTAAAATGATTATCATAAGGAAATTATGGTTTGCTTCAACCACTTCTATCAAATAACTTGAACCTAAGTTACCTAATCTCTCTCCCTTTGTTGTGCTTTGGCAAACCTCCCACCGTTGGTTTGTGCACAAGTTTTACATTGTAGCTCTGGATGTCCAATGTGATACAGCGAGAATGCAAACTAATTATTTTAGAAAGAGGAATTATCTTTGTAGAAGGCTCAATTTTCTGGGTATTGAAATTAAAATCCGCTTTATAGTTATTTTGAAGGATGTAATATAAATGGAATTTTAAAAATAATTATTATTGAGATATTTAAATTTCTCTTACTTTATGATAACACATAATATAAACGGAAAAATGATACCCAATTATCAGTTTATCATTTTCCATCAGATCTTAGCTACTCCGCTTTCAAGTAAACTCTTTGTTGCGCTCCCTCCCAAACGGATACAACACTCAGTATATTTATTGAAGGGTTTAATATAATGTTTTGTTTTTCACTGCAAATTTTTTGCCACACCTATTTTTATATGAGTGTGACAGTCTTACTAACTTTTATATAAGTGTAATAAAAAAATTATTTTATAATAAAATTAGAAATATTGTTTCCATATTTATAAACATTTATGAAGAGCCTCTAGAGAATTTTAATTGTTCAAAAGTAACTCCAATTATTACTTGTACTCACAATAAATATTTTGGCCTCTCGTCCTCCATGACCTGTCAATCAAATTAACCTCATCTGCTTGCTTAACTAGTTACCATATGAAAATGATTAATATTCATAAAAATTATAAATTTGCATAGTTTAATCTATTTAGAAAAATAAGTAAATTTAGATATTATTTAGCGGCTCATAAAATATGATGAATATATAAGAAGTACTAAGTTTTAGGACTTCAGAAAATTTACCTTGAGTTGTTCATGTTCAAAGTTATTTTGTATATGCATGAAAAACTTCTTATAATTTTCTGTCATTAAACAAAGCTTAAATTGTCAACCTAGGTTGGTAAACTGGAATTACTAAGCTTTGGAGGGATGGGTTACTTGAAGGAAAATGGTTGATTGACTATTCTGGGTTTCTAGACGTAACCAATCATGTGGTGGAGAATTAAGAGCAATCCAGTAATTATAAAGACCTGGCAAGCTGGGTATGTATATAGCAAGGTCGTGTGAGTCACGATTTAATGGTTGCGATCGGGCTTATTCAAAATATTGGGGAGGACTGTTTCCACCAACAAGGCATTGTTTTTGCTCAAATTCAACAGCATTATGAATCATGGTATGGTTTAGCCTCATTAATTAAGCTTCGGAAATGCAGGTTACACCACTCTCATGCATGAAACTAGTACGTGTACAGCACTATACAGCCAAACATGACGTTAGCCTAGAAATTTGGCACGCTCCGCCTGCAGGGATTTATTTGTACTAAGCTTTTTTCGCTGATTCAAATACCACCACACAAACTATCTTTTTTATGTTTTGGTTTTTTCTTATTGTCTTATGTACCAATAAAATAAATAACTTAATATATATATATATATATATATATATATATATATTGGAGATAGGGGAAATAACTTAATATATATTTGATTCACCGTTGTTGTCAAGCTAGCTAATAATTCAATAAATAAATAAAGTAAAGCTAGGTAGTAATTGATAATATGTCCCCTTGAGAGGTAAAGAGAAGAAAGCAGCAGCAACAACACCGTTTAGTAGGAGATCCTTTCTATAAATATTTTTTATATGCAGAAACGTACTTTCTCCACGTTGGGTAAATCGGCCGCTAAAGTTGTCCGTCTGTTCTAAATGCACACATGCGTGCCACAAATTTGTCCTTCGATATCTACAAAAATTAGTTGCCCGTATCCTTTGAGCATCCCGTGGGGAATCCCATAGCATTAGCATATGCATTCCGTGTAAATTCGGTAACATGTAAATCAAGCTAGCTTTAAAAAAGGCGATTCCCAGAAACTGCACTAATTCAAAAAAAAAAAAATTATATATATATATATATATATATATATATATATAACCAACGGACAATATCTTAGTTTATACTGTTTTTAATCTTATAATTATCTAACCCTTTAACAAAGAATAAAATCATATCACAACCGAATCAAAATCGTTTTTTTTTTTTACATCAACCATATAATATTAGCGAGAGGTTATAATTACAACTTTTTATTACACCCATATATCATGACCGTTGATTTTCTCCAATCAACGGTTATGATTTTTCACAAATTAAACTCATTAATTAATTATTAATTCATAATAAATGACAATCGTTGATTGGAAAAATCAACGGTTATGATATATGGTTGTAAGAAGTTGTAAAAAAAAAAATTGTAAGTATAACCTTTCTCATGATATTAAAGTACTGTGTAGCCTTAATTTGTTAATTTATTTCTCTTTGGCAAACCCGTATTTGTCTGAGACTTATGAACCCTACATTAAAAAATAAATAAAAGAAAATGGCTATTTAATTAATGTACATTAATTACATAGCCATTTTTCTTTTTTTTATTGTGATTGGTACATTAATTCTGATCGGATAACGAGATTGTGCCATATAGCACACAAGTTCGCAACCCCTGGTAGCGAACTTAGTCCATTCAATTTTTCCTACATAAATGTGTCACGTGTCACGAAATCATTGGCTATCAAGTTTGCTACCATTCTTAACGAAATTAGACACGTGGCGGTCAGCTTTTCCTGCGAAAGTATGCCACGTATTAAGAAATTATTGACTACCAAGTTCGCTACTAGTCGTAACGAACTTCAATGCGTGACAATCTAAAAAACACTGTTTGCATAACAGTCTTATATTAAAATACAAAAAACGTGGTGCATTAGTCACTGTTCCCCTACATTATATACTTAGCCAAATCAAAAGCGTATTATCGTGTATATATTGGAGCAGACTAATATACCCTACATTATATACAAGATTAATCTTGTAAATCTTATATGATCGATCTCGTCTTCAACATGTGTCTTCAACATAAAATTTTGTGTCCGGTCGATCTTGGCATAAAGTATATTGGAGCAGTGGGGCTCCATTTGTGTGGTGAAAGATCCTTCTATCCCCACATATCCTACTGGCACTTAATAAAGAAAATAACATTTTACCTCAGTTAATCTCAATATACGTAACTTCTGGTATTTTTTTCTTCTTCAATTGATCATATTAATGTCACATTTTCAAATACAGAATCTCTTCACATCACATTTTCATTATTCAATTTTATAAACAACTTTAGGTCTTGGTTAATTAATTAAAGGGCATCAATCCTCATAAAAAAAAATAGATCAAGCAGTAATAAATTTATTTGAGTTTATTGATATTTGTAATGTTAATGATTCAGACCCGTGATAAAATGTTTAAGGAGATGGACAAGAGATTAATTTATCTCACTCAATAGGTTAAAAAAAATTATCTTTTGATAAAAAGTATTTAACAATATATTTAAAAACTATACCAAGACTAAAGAGATTAATTTATCTTCTTATGAGTTAGGTTCGTACTCATATATATGAATGAATTCAAGAAATGAGTTTTGTGAGGGTCAACATCAATATTATATATAATAATTTAAAATAGGTTTATTTTCCTTACTAGAATGCACAAATTTTACGAATATCTTAATTAGCTCAATTTTCCTAATTGTTTGTTATTAATTAAATTATTTTTCATATTTTAAAAGCTACAAGAAAAAGTTGTTAAATTTTCACATAATAACAAGATAAGATTTTGATATTCAAAGCTGGAGAAATCGAGTAGTAATTTTTTTTTTTGTTTTTGTTTTTGTTACAAACTGCTATATTTTAATAAAGTTTGTCTTGCATATTTTAAACGTATATCAAGTAGTATTTGGTATATACAACTTAATTGAGCCAAATTCGAGTCAATTTGATTTTTTTAATAATTCAAACTCTAAATTTTATATATATATATATATATATATATATATATATATATATATTCCAAAGTTGACATCGATAATGTCATTCCTCAAATAATAAATAAATAAAATAATATTTTTGGTCAATATTAAATGGTGTTTTACACTATTATCATATTATGTAAACAATATTATAATGGAGAGGAATAAATCAATATTATAATGGAGGAACAAAACATTATAGAGGACT